TTATTGCTGAAGGCGTTCGCGGATTTTGTAGCCAGTTGCGCTACCAACAGGCAGGACTCTAGCAAATTTTGTGCGAAAAGCGTGGAAGAGCTGCACGAACGCTTCTGCGATGGCTTGACTCAGCCGAAACGCGGGGGCTTGCAGGCAAACGTGTGGCGCCAGCGGCTGACTCGCACAATTCGGCCCCGCACGATGAAGGATTTTGATTTCTTTGTCGCGCTGAACGCAGTTCCCCTTCACACAGTGTGTTTCAGTTTCAGTGGGTTCAGAGTTTGAAGCTTGAGACACACAGGCCACTGTTGATTTTCTTTGATCCAGCAGCCGCTGTTGCCCACGAGAGATCTGATCAGGGAAACACACGGGCCACTGCTGACTTGAGTTTAAATCCCAGCAGACTCGCAAGACACACATGTCACACATGCACTCAAGCAATTCAGATCAGCGTGTGAGTTAGTGACTGTGAGTTGTGACAGCTGCCATGCCGCTGCTGCTGCTTTCCGCCCGCTGGTCCGCTGCCAAGCACTACGACCCCAGCGGTGGCAGCGGGAAGCTCCGCCGCGTGAGCCCGCCGCACCCAGAAGTGGGCTGGGTGAACGTGCTGGCGGAGCGGCAAGGGCTGCAGCACGTCTTGCAGTGGCAAAGGGACATCCAGCGGCCGCCGCAGAGCGAAGCAGGAGGAGGAGCGGACCTTGGAGCCGCAGCTGCAGCGGCATCGGCAGAAGCCAAGCCGCCTCAGCCTGAGCGGCAGCGTCCTGGCATTTCCTCTCTTTGCGGGCTGGTTCGGGTTCGAGCCGGCCAGACAGCCCGCGGAGCTCTCACGCGGTGGACAGCGGAGGAGGATTATCTCCGCAGGCTTTTGTTTGACGACAGTAGTTCTTGGCAGTCAATGTGTTCGCTGGAGATCGAGAGCTTGCTTGCTTTCGATCGCGAGTATGCCTCCCACAGCCCCACACGGTTTGCGTCTGAGCTATGGGAGCCGGAAAAAATTGAGTTTGCGGACTTCTGCTGCCGCAGCGGCGCGAGCCAGAGTTTGGCGCGCCTTTCCATGAGAAGCAGTCACGGGCGCAGAAAACTCCTTCAACTTAGGATTTGCGCTCGCTTTTAAGGTTTTAGGATTTTTCGACACAAATTCACGGGTTTTTGTTTGTTTTTTGCTTGAAGCATCAAAACTCCACGAAAATGAGCGAAAATGGCTAAATTCAAGAGTTTCGTTTGTTTTTTGCTTGGTTTTCAGTTTTTCACCCAATTCGACGTTTGCAAGGGTTGCAAGGGCGATTTCCTCGCTTGGGTGTCTGCGGCGTAAGTTGACGTTCGCAGGGCCAATCTGTCCAGTACTTTCTTGCGAAGGGGGGCGCGGCTCTAGTCTGGAGTCTTGAGTCTTGAGATGTGGGGCTGCTCTGCCGGGCTCTGCCTGCACACTCGCAGATTGGATTTGTTTCGCTGTCCCGTCGTTGGTGGCAAACACAGCCACAGGCGCCACTCCCAAGAAAACACGCTGCAGCAAGTGCCATGCGCTCTGCAGACACACCCTTCCGAACCCCACAGCCCACAGCCACAGCCCACTTCCGCACATCCCGCGTCGATCTCAGCAAAAGCTCAGAGTTCCAGCACGCCTTTCTCCTGCAATTTGGAAGCAACGCGTGTTTTCCAACAAGTGCAGCGCCAAGGCAGCGCGTTATGAAGAATAAGCGCCCAGCTCCAGCGGATTTGTTCGCAGTCCAGGTTTGCGGCAGCAAGCGCAAGGTGATTCGGGCGTTGTGCAAGTGTGCCTTCCCCAGTTTGCCAGTCACTGTCAGGTCCACCTTTCTGTCAGTTCGCACAGCCTGCGCTGTTACTATCGTTTTCCAGGCTGCCTCAGCAGGCTTATTGGACGCTTGCTCATCGCAGTCGCTGGGCGTAGGCGTTTGCGTTTTGCGCTCCCTCGCAGCAGCTTGTTAGCTCGCAGCCTGGCAGCCATGGATGAGCCGCGGAAGAGGCAGCGGCGGGCGGGCGCCGCCTTTGCTTGCGAGGAGGCGGCGAGCCTGCCGCCGAGGCTAGCTGCAGCGGATGGCCCGCGAAGCATGTCCGAAAGCGACATGTGGCCAGACCTGCTCTTGGAGAGTTTGGAGCGGGCAGGCCTGCTGGGCAACTTTGAAAAGGCTATGGCAGGTCCGCGGGGGCCTAGCTCCTCAAAAGTCCAAAGCTAGCCACACAAAGCAAAACCTGCCAAATCGCATGGCCCGAATGTGCAAAAAGCGGTTTTGTGGCCGAATTTTCAAAACCACGTGGTCGATTTGTGGAAACGCTGCTTGGCTGCCGAAATTGGCAGATCACGTGGTCCATTTGTGTGAAAGGCTGGCTTGCGCTGAAATCCAGGTTTTCTGGCCCGAACAGCTCGCATCTAAGGATTTAGCGAATCTAAGAGGCAGGATGCCCTACTACCAGGAAATCAACTTCAGGTTTCAACATCATCTTTTTGGGAACAACAGTTGCATTTGGCAGCAGAACTCAAGCTACAATAGCACTCAGCTCAGCAGAGTCTGAACTCTACGCCATTTGCACAGGAGTTAATGAGGGACTACACCTCAGAAACTTCCTACTTGAAACCAACATTTGCAGCAAGCTAAACCTACGCATCCACACAGACTCCACAGCAGGCAAGAGCATTGCTACACGACAAGGCACTAGCAAACGAGCAAAACACATCGACCTCAAATTCCTCTACACACAAGACCTCATCAAGCACGACATCATCAGAATCCTTAAGATCAACACACTCCACAACAGCGCAGATTTGTTTACCAAATACATCAGCAAAGAAACACTACACAGGCTCATCCAGAGCATTGGAATACGCATTTAGCACTACGAACGACCAGCACAGCAGTTTCACAACAACAACAACGACTTTGGACATTTCATGTATGTAAGTAGCTACATGTAACACGACACTTTTGGTATGTAAGTAACAGTAACTACATGTACTTTCACTTGCACTTTTGGCGGCTTGAGTCAACACTACAGTTGTTTGTTTTACACGTCTGCATTCGCCGACTGCCTGGTAGCAACTACTTAGGCTCATTTGTTTTGCCCCGTTTCACTACATTTTGCATTCCACTGCAGCCATGGCCGCCCCATCTACTGCAGATGCTACGATGGGAGACGCCACTACGCCCGACAGGGCGACTACACCGGAGGTGGCTGTCACTACGGACTCCAGTGACCACGGAACTCCACCACCTCAAACCTACAACGACTCCAACTACCACTTCAACCATTCTACACCCGGCAACACCGTCTACTACAACCCGACCACAGTGATGGACCAACTGCACATCACTGAGCACCAGACAACCACTGCACCACCACTGCCCAACAACATTCCACACACTCAATTGTTCACTGCATTTACACTTGAAGAGTATCAACTACTCTAGCTACTCCACTGGCACAACTGGACTACACTCGACCCATTCACTGCATCCCTGGAGATCTTCGGATGCCCCACTACAACTCTACACTGCTCAGCATTTCACTACCTGAAGCAGCCAACGTCCACTACTACCACACGACTTCACTCCACACTACAACTGGCGACAACACCAACTACGTCATCATCCAACTTCAGATTGAACAACCACTACTCCTGAGGCACCTCACTTCAGGACAATTTCTACACTTCACAAGGGACTACATCTCCTACATGATGTCGGTACAACACAACTACTACCTCCCGACTACAACACTGCCACAGCCCATCTTCAAGGTGAACTACAACATGACCACCTTCACTGACAACTACAGTCTCAGGAACAACTACGTTTGGAACTACCACATGCCACTACTTCTACCTGAACTACTCCACTACCTTTACAACCGAGACCAACTACACGACTTCCAGCACAAAGCAATCACTACAATCCTCTGCAAAAGCATCCAATACTACGGATTCACACTACTCACCATGACCAACCTCACACAACACCACAAAGCACTACTACACCGCTTTCTACGGGACTACGACCAACACATGTCGTGTCCCGAGATAGATGATGAGCGACTACGGGGAGCTCCAAACTACATGACAACCTTTTTCACCACCAACTACTATGCGACCTTGGACAGTCGAGTACAGAAGGTCCAAGACTACCGCACCCAGAACTGGGGACTACATTTTTGAGCTCCTGCTCTACTACAACGAGTGCCTGCCTTCACTACTTCCGTCCAGCGACTACATCAAGCTGGAACCTGAACAGCGTGAACTACTGAGCGCAGGTCACTACTTTTGTCAATACAGTAGACTTGATGAACAACAATGGTTTTCATCACTACTGTCAATCCACATTTTGCACTCCAGTTGAAAAGGTACTACAAAGACCTTTTAACTGAGGGGCCGTGTCAAACTACATGCTTCGCTGTGCACTTGTGTTGCATGTATGTTCACTACCGCAGGCCTTGAGCTTACTACTCTGCATGAGTCAAAAGGTTGGCAGCTGCAGACAACAATCGGTTGACTGTTTGTTTGAACACTACAGCACTTGCACTTGTAAGCAAAGTAACCACCGATTTTAACGTCTCTCTCTCTCTCTCTCTCTCTCTCTCTCTCTCTCTCTCTCTCTCTCTCTCTCTCTCTCTCAGAAAGTTCTGAGAACCATGTCTGGGTTGGGGTGGTCTTTGCTCTTCTTAGTTAGAAAGTTACACCCGGTTCCCTCGATTCTTTCCTGAGGTATTCCAAGTGTTTGTCCATAGGATTCCACCAATCCAAAGTTGGCAAGCGGACAACCCAGGGTTTGTAGGATCTAAAGGCAAACCTTAACCAGGCTTTCTACACTACCAAGTCCCTTCTGGTTGCTGAAGCACATACATTTTAGCCATGTTGAAAATCACATTGATGTGGACAGTGCTATTCTGAGTCAGGTAATGTTCAGATGTATCCTTTGGGGAAAAGGGTTTCCATTTCCCACACAGCCTAAAGGTCCTAGGAATTTCTGCGCGCTTTTTGACCGCGCTTTACGCAGCAGGCGGTCAAGGTGGACAGTGTGGTCACCATGGACCTAGAGACATCCTCGGCGGCTCAGGCGCGGTGGTTTGGAGGTGGTGCCCACTACCTCCAAACCACCCCAACGTAAAAATGGTACCCTCCAAAATACAGGCTCATAGATGCCCAATGCTAGAAACTTGGTGGACGGATTCCTGCGACTTCCCTTCGTTGAACAACTTTCTACCCCCGCCTCTGGAGGAACCCTGAGGGTGAAGCAACAGCTTTTTGGGCAAGGCCTGGAAAAAGTGAACGGGTTCCCGTATCCCTTTCGGTGGCTCACGTCCGATTGAGCGCAAGCCACCCATTGGCCGTAGTGGTTCTACTTGGGTTTCGTGAGGGCGTCTCCTCAATCTTTATAACCATCTTAGTAGAAGCGAAACAAACAGCTCGGGTTTTGTGTTTTGCTGGGATGTGTTTCCTTTTGGTTGGGGATGTTTTGAGGACGGTAACTCTGGTGTCCTTTCCATCTGACTGCTTCAGGTGTCCTGTTGTTCTCCCAAAAGGAGCGCCGAGCCTCAAAATATAGGCGCCCATATTGGGGGAGTTCTAAAAACTTCTTTTGGGACACAGATTTGATTTGTACCGCAAATTAATTTGGAGAGTATCGCTTCAAGGGGTATTTCACTATTCTACTTATGTCCGGACAGAGCTTATTCACCTCTTTAACTTTTTTGCCCTTTGGATCTAGGAAACAGTTTGGATGCGCAAACTGTGGAAATCCACGTGGTCCTCCTCCTGTTGATTGTTTATCCTACACGGGTGGATCCACAAAAGCCACATCCCAACTGATTCTAGATGTGGTTTTCCTTCGTTTTCCCTTTGCAAAACAGAACCTTGTTCTCATGGTACCCAGGCTGCTATTTGACACGTTTTGAGGCCAGCCAAAGGCCGCTTCCCTAGTCCTCCCTCTCATCGCTTCGGGGCGGTTGCCTGTTGCACGGCGCTTTTTCCCCTTTGCAGGCTCCTTTGAAGTGCCCTTTGATTCTTGGAGGGGTTGCAACAAAGCCAGACCTGGAATATCCTCTCTCCCGCGTTGCCATGACACCTGACAGGCGGTTTTTGCAAGAGGGTTCGAAATTTGGATCCGGAAAAGAGCCCTGTAGGTCTTGTGGAAAGTATTCCAAATTGAGCCTGCAAAAGGTTGTTTTCGTTGCTAGGGGTCAACTGGCCTGTTTGTGGTAGGCATGAGGAGATGACAGGCCTCTAGTAAAACTTTAGGGTATTCTTGCAATGCCGCATGGCAACATGGAATCCAAAAAATCATCAGGCCAAGAGGAAGCTTCTTTGGGTCGCGCGACTCACTGCTTTGACCGTGTTTCCCAGTCTTTTCCTTGTCGCTCACGCCAAACCAAGACCCCGCAACATGCCCTAAACGGTGTAAATCCAACACCCGGGCTGACAAATAGATTCCCCTCCAATGGAAGCAGACCTGTGCACATCATGTTGTTTCTGTCGGGAAAGGTTCGGCATCCAGGCTCTTTCGGCGCCATCCGCCCAGACCAACTTTGTAGATCACGTTTGGGAATCAATCAGTTTATTTAGTTTGCCCGCCCATAAGGCTTAGCAACCCCAAACCCTTGGGGCGTCTTTGGAGGTTTTGTTTTGGTAGGGTCCTTGAGATGACATCCGGTTCTTGCCAATTCCAAGTCGGTGTCAAGCTTCGTGAGGCCAGTCCCGTCTCGCACGTGCCAGGGGTCCCTCTCGTTGCCGGAGCTCAGCGATTCCCCGCAGGTGCAAGTTGGGGTCCCGTTTAGCGATTTACTCAGTCCCGTTGTTTTTCCTTTGTTTTGAACATCACCTTTTCGGCGGGGGTGAGGCGACTTTCAGAAAACAGACGCGAATGCCAGACAAACAAATGTCAAACACATTTATGTCCGGACAGAGCTTATTCACCTCTTTAACTTTTTTGCCCTCTGGATCTAGGAAACAGTTTGGATGCGCAAACTGTGGAAATCCACGTGGTCCTCCTCCTGTTGATTGTTTATCCTACACGGGTGGATCCACAAAAGCCGCATCCCAACTGATTCTAGATGTGGTTTTCCTTCGTTTTCCCTTTGCAAAGCAGAACCTTGTTGTCATGGGGGTACCCAGGCTGCTATTTGACACGGAATATCTCTCCCGCGTTGCCATGACACCTGACAGGCGGTTTTTGCAAGAGGGTTCGAAATTTGGATCCGGAAAAGAGCCCTGTAGGTCTTGTGGAAAGTATTCCAAATTGAGCCTGCAAAAGGTTGTTTTCGTTGCTAGGGGTCAACTGGCCTGTTTGTGGTAGGCATGAGGAGATGACAGGCCTCTAGTAAAACTTTAGGGTATTCTTGCAATGCCGCATGGCAACATGGAATCCAAAAAGTCATCAGGCCAAGAGGAAGCTTCTTTGGGTCGCGCGACTCACTGCTTTGACCGTGTTTCCCAGTCTTTTCCTTGTCGCTCACGCCAAACCAAGACCCCGCAACATGCCCTAAACGGTGTAAATCCAACACCCGGGCTGACAAATAGATTCCCCTCCAATGGAAGCTGGGCTTGGAAGACCTGTGCACATCATGTTGTTTCTGTCGGGAAAGGTTCGGCATCCAGGCTCTTTCGGCGCCATCCGCCCAGACCAACTTTGTAGATCACGTTTGGGAATCAATCAGTTTATTTAGTTTGCCCGCCCATAAGGCTTAGCAACCCCAAACCCTTGGGGCGTCTTTGGAGGTTTTGTTTTGGTAGGGTCCTTGAGATGACATCCTGTCCTTGCCAATTCCAAGTCGGTGTGAAGCTTCGTGAGGCCAGTCCCGTCTCGCACATGCCAGGGGTCCCTCTCGTTGCCGGAGCTCAGCGATTCCCCGCAGGTGCAAGTTGGGGTCCCGTTTAGCGATTTACTCAGTCCCGTTGTTTTTCCTTTGTTTTGAACATCACCTTTTCGGCGGGGGTGAGGCGACTTTCAGAAAACAGACGCGAATGCCAGACAAACAAATGTCAAACACAGACGCAACATTCCGAAAAAATGAACGCGGAATTCAGAAAACAGACGTTTGGGACGATCGGGACGGTCGGGAGTCGGGATGGTTGGGATTTTCGAGCTGGTCGGGATAGTCGGGACGGTCGGGACGGTCAAGACCATGGGACGGTCCGGTTGGTCGATTTGGTCATGGTCGGGACGGCCGAGAGCAAGGATTGTCGGGACGGCGGCGGTGGTCGGGATGGTGGGCGGGTGTTGAACTGGTAGAGGTTGGAGTGTTGGACCAGCAAGGCCGCGTCAGCTTCGCCACTGTCCGCCCAACTACGTCGCCGAAATTCACATAAGCATCGGCCGAATTTCCCCTTGCTGTTGGCCGAATTTCACGCATCTCAGTGGACTGCGACTCCCGTTCAATGAGGCACTCATTTTGGACATATATGGATATGGATGTCAACATGAGCTCAAAGGAATTCAAAGGAGCTGCCGTTTGTCGTCTCTGCTTTTTGTTTTTTTTCGGGCTGCCCATGAAACCAGAGTTTCAAATCAGGATCTGGCTTCGTACTCGCTTGTTTTTTGACGCCGGGCGTGTCCTCAACCCATGCGTGCCAGGCATTGCCTACATTTGTTTAGTGGTCAAAACAACTCAGGGAATCTAGCGATTTCAATGTTAGCTGGGTGGCTGTATGCCATTTGGCCAGCGTGCGTGCAGTTGTTGGCAGGTCCACTAGTGAGCCATTGGGCATTCACCCTGCATCCAACCTCACCTCAGTCCCACTCAGCACTTCCTAACTCTTGCACCCCACGCCACTCTTGCGCCCGACCGCGCCCCAACTCACACCCCCACTCGACGCCACTCCAGTCCACCCCACGCCACGCCACCCCACGTCACGCCACGCCACGCCGCGCCACGCCGCCCCACGTCACGCCACGCCACGCCACACTCCACTCCACTCCACTCCACTCCACTCCACTCCACTCCACTCCACTCCACTCCACTCCACTCCACTCCACTCCACTCCACTCCACTCCACTCCACTTGCTCGCGCTCGCTCTCTCGCGCAGGACACGCCGCGCCACCCCGCCACGTCACGCCACCCCACACCACGCCGCCCCACGTCGCCACCCCACGCCACGCCACCCCACACCACCCCACGCCACTCCAAGCCACGCCACGCCACGTCATGCACCCCACGCCACGCCACGTCACGCCACGTCACGCCACGCCGCGCCACTACACTCCACTCCACTCGCTCTCGCTCGCTCTCACTGACTCTCGCTCGCTCTCGCTCGCTCTCTCGCACAGGACACGTGGAGCTCTTGGATTTGGAACCTGGTGTCCCTGACGCAGAAGGAGCAGGTGGCGCTGCGTAAGGGTGGAAGGTATGATGGAAGCGGTCAGGTGGTCATTATTATCCGTGGGCTTTGACCACTGCTCAGGTGCAAACAGGAATGTTCCACATCAAGTAAGGGTCCCTGATAAACTTGGATGTTCAACCGAACCTGGGTAAGGGAAGGTCATGAAATAGTCTTAAGCATACACGCGTGCGGATATCGGCCCTTTGGACTATGTACACGCTTTTGGATGGATGCGTCCAAAATATCCGGTTTTTGCATGTGACTCAAACCTTCTTTCTGGTAATGTAAGTTAGCCTGTGGTAGGGTAGCTTGCGCCCAATGTGGGGAGCGCCCTTCCAACAATAATGCAGTGGAATAGAAAGGAATGGACGGGAAGCGCAAGAAACTGCAAGGAGACCGACAAACAAATGAAATCAGAAGGACGAGGAAAACACGGAATGGGAAAAATCAGAGAATGGAAAGGACATGGAAAGGAAATGGAAGGAATCGGAAGGGACGCGAAAATGAACGGAAAGGAAGCACAAAGAAATGAAGAGGAATGGAAGCACAAAGAAATGAAGGAGGAAAGGACACACAAAATATATTATGGACAGGACATGGAAACGGGCTACGAAAGAAAAGGAATGGAAGGGAATGCAAAGAAACGGCAAGGAAATGGAAAGGAGATAGAACAGAGTTAGGAGGGAAATGAAGAGGGAATGCACAGAATTGAAGAATGGAAAGGAAACAAATGGAAGGGACATATGGAGAGCAAATGGAAGGGACTTGTTAAAGGATATTAAGCATATCGAAAGGGAATAGCTAAAGGAAACGGAAAAGAAATGGTTAGGAAACCTGTCGACATTAGTTCTGATTGTTCGCGGGAAACTACAAAACAAACGCATTTTAGCACCGGCTGGCCTTGGGGGCACTTCTAGCTAGGAATGGAAAGGAAATGGACAATCTTCAAGGACAAGGGAATTAATGGAAAGGACACGCAAGGAAACCCCGGTCCACCAGCAAACATTGTTCCCCTTTTCCAAGAGGTCTAGGTCTGGCAAGGGGTCAGAAGAGCCAGTTGAGATCCTGGGCAAGTAATATCGACCTCACCCATGACGAAGGCTCCTTACTTGGGGGTTCCTCATTTCCATAACTAATTGCGGGTGTCTTTTTTGACGGTGCGCTTTTTGGGTGGGTTTGCGGAAGCAAAAAGGGCCAAACCTCACGGACTCGTTCCCCCGCCATTCCACTCCATTGCATTCCGCTCACTAGCAGGCGCCGGAGAAGGAAGCAGAGGAGTGCCGGGGAAGGGCAGGGCGCATAGATCCGCATGGTTGGCTTGACTTGCTGAATTGTGGCTTAACATTTAGGGCCTTATTCCTATGCTTCGCAGCCTACAGCCTTCATGTCCCTGAGGCTTTTGGAGTTTGTATCCAGTCTGGCAAGCTAAAAGGTGAGCATAGATTATCTGACATGTTCCAAGTGCACCAGACGCATCGTGGATGGGAGCCATTTGATGAAGAAGAGGCTGTACATGCGTTTTGCAGGGTTTCCATAATTACTGTCTTTCCCAAGCGACATCCATGTCGTGTTTGTTCCTCTTTTCGTTTTTGCATTATGTGAAACCTTGATCCAACAGCGCGTCAGCATTTGCAGCAATGACCAGGCAGCCGAAGAACCACGGAAGGAAGAGCCGGCTGCCGCAGAGGAGGCGCGTTTGCGATGGTTTGGGTGTGGTGTTTTGCTGCAAGTGCAGCAGAACGTTCAGCGCATTCAGATCCCAGCGACGGTGTCTGTGTGTATGCGCATAAGCGCGCGTGCGTGATAGTCTGCAAGCATGCTTCCAGCGAGTAGAACACGGCCGGTGGTTGAGGGTTGGCTCAAGATTAGCTTAGGGTTGGCTTTGGGTTGGTTTAGATTGGGTTTTAGGGGCAGTTTGAGGTTGGTTCAGGGTTGGTTAGTTTAGGCGGCAATCCGGCCGTCTAGCCACCCGGCCATCCGGCCATCCAGCCAGCCACTGCGAGGCACGCCATAGTTGAGGGGTTGGGAAAACAATCAGAAGGATCAAACTAACCAGCGTTACGGAATTCCACCGAAGCATCACTCATTCCCTTTGGAACAACAAGAACAATAGGACACGACTCCCCTCATTTGCCACTTCATGAAGTGACATGGAAAGCAAGCATTGACAGAAAGAAAAGACGGGCACTAGCAGTTTCTAATGGTTATTCACCAAGGAACAAGTAGGAGGACAATGACCTTGGAAGCCTCCTGAGGCATTCCCCCCGCCAAGCATCTGGAATGATAAGGACAAAATGGTTTCTGGACTTCCCTGAGGTTCTATTTCCCATTCAAACAATTAGAGCAAATTGAATAGTTGGAAGACTGACAATTCACACATTACAGGAGGGAGTCCCATCCTGCGAGGCACCACTCCCCTTGAACATGTGTTGCATCATTAGAGCTAGCGGGACATCATGATTTCAGGAATGCCTTGAATCAGCATTGCCGTTGAACAAAGGTAGAAGCAAGAAGAAACATTATGTTTATAATAAGCCGATTACGGGAGACCCATGATGCACGAACCAGCTCGGACATGTCGAATTGGGAGAATTGTCAATGTCGTGGAGCAAAACTATTCCGGACTTCCCTGTGGCACCTCTCTTTTGAACCGGTGTTTTTTTGGAATAACTAGAACATTGTCAAAGAGGTAATTTTCCAATTCCCACCACGCCTCACTTCCTTTGAAAGGATACTGGGATGACTACGAAAGAACAATGACCCCAAACACCTCCTCAGGCACCAATTGCTCGACATGTTTCAAACCCAATTCCCACAATCGATAAAAGTTGGGTTGATGTCCGTGTACTTGTTTATGCTCCAGATATTCTGGTGGTTCCTATTGTTCCAACTGCGGTACTTTCTTGCAGCATCCCCATGTGTGTTTTGCTATACATTCTAATTCCGCTAATTTGTTCCAGCTCGTTCAAGGGGACTGGTGTGTCAGGGAATTCCCAGAATAGTTCGCTAATCTGCCTCAAACTAGCTACAGAAGTGATGGCTCACGGCATTCTGCTATGTGTTGCTTTAGGCATTCAAGTTAGGTTGAACATGAATGTTGAAATCATGTTTTCTGATTGCGCTCCTGTGTATGATTACAACCATGTCCAAAGGGAATAGTGCTTCAGGGCATGGCGTTTAAGCGGTGCCTCTCAGAACCCCTCGCGTGATTGTCTACAAGGCGAACCAGCTCTCAGGGTATTCCTGGAACCATCTTGTTCCAATTCTAATATAGTAGTTTACATAGAGTTGACACCGGGGGTGGGTCTCGAAACAGCTATTTGACCACGCAGATGACACCTGAAAAAATATTGACACATGTTTTCTCATAGTCTTAACATCAGAATTTGATCACTGTTTGGGAGCAGTCATGATCCATTATGCCCCATGTCAGTGGTTTGATGATGGCGCAAGCCTCAAAATGTCAGACATGTCAAGTCTATGTGTCCAAATTGTAGCGACTGCCCTGTGTGCAAGAAATCGGCCAACATAAATGCTAAAAAACACATCAACACAACAACATGTCAAGATAACAGAAAATAATTGCAGCCACAATAGCAACAATTTGCTGTGTTCCACTCGGATTGGCTGGTTCACTCATGATGTTTGATATTCAATATGTCAGGCTGCATGACATGTTTTGTTGGTACGTGTTATATAGATGAGTCGACCTATCAGTCATGACTCATGACCAATTTTATGCACCGGTGACATGAACGCCAACTCTGCGCATGTCAAGTCCATGCATTCAAACGGCGGCTAGCCCCATGAGTCCGCATTGTTGGCTACCAAAATGAATGATTGTAAAGCCTTCACATGTCAAGTCCATGCATTCACATGTCATTACAATTTCGCATGTGCAGTTGTATCACAACCATGCATGTACCAATGCCATCTCATTGAGCTGATGCTTCATGTTTTTGGTACATGATATTCTGTTGAGTTGGTGCAAGAGCCAAAAGTATGGCCCAGTATGGCCTTCAAATGCTAAATGCATAGTCTTGACACTGAATCTCATTGGGCAATATCACACCCTGGTCTCCGCGAGCTCTTCCTCTGCGTCCTTTTTGTTCAAATCTGTTTCGAGATAGATTCCCTTGAGTTCTTGGATGAACTCATCTAGGTTCTCTGAATTGTGATATTCCACGATGACTTTTGGCTTGACGGATCTTTCCCCGGAGGGTTCCATCGTCTCTTCTTCAGCTTCGTCCTGATCGGTGGAATGCCGCCTCTTCTTGGTCTCTGAGGAAGTATCTTTTTCCTTGCTGTGCTTGGTGGAACTCACATAATTGAAGAAGGCATCGGCAAATTCGCGGATCTTGGTGTCGTACATCTCGTAATCTTCATAACTGAGATGCTTCTTCATGATCCACTTGTTGCTCGCCATGAGGCTGCCATCAGGTTCAAATGCTGCAACAATGTTCCTTGCCTCGATGGTTTTGTCTGTCAACGCTGTTCGCTCTTCGGAGAGTCGGATGCCATAGTCCTGGTCCTTGAGGAATGCAAGGATCAACAGTGCATCTCTTCCTGCTGGCACACGGGTCAATGCGGCTTCTGACTCATCGTCGTGAAGGATGACGTCATCGATGCATGCCATGTGGACGTGCATTCTCCCCAAAGGGTTTGACTGGGATTTCCCAGATTTGAGCCCGTGCTCCATGATGCTGAAGAGCTGATTTCCATAGGTTGCATGGAACATGAATGTGATGGGCTTCTTCGCGAACGGCTTGTTTTTTCTCTCTTCTTCAATGGATGGTGGTGCCGGCCTTCGCATTCTGTGCTTGGGCTGAGCTGTGCCTTCATCTTCATGAGGCGCCTCGGATCTTGGCGGATGCGGACTTGGCGGAATAGATTCCGTTGGTAGATCATAGTCCGGTTCGTCGTGTTGAGGCTCTTTCTGCTGCTCAAGGATTGGATCTCGACTTGTCGTGTGTGTCCGTTGTTGCATCTCACGTAGAACTCCATCTCTGGATCGACATAGAATTCCTTGCCATCGGGCCTGAGTGCATTTTGTGCGGATCTTGTGGTGAGCTTGTCGATCCATCGATTCCTTGGAACAATTTCTCCCCGTGCCTTGCGCTCCTTATATGGCCCGTCCACGGATGGAACTACGAATGCAATTTCGAAACGTGATTTTCCATAGCTCGGGAACATAGCCATCAAGAGAAGTCCTGGCTTATTTCCAATGAAGTTCCTGGCATGTGTGATGCAGGTCAATGCGTCATAGAGCTCGACGGATCCATCAGGACCCATGTCCACTTGTCGTCTGCGTTCCTTATGGATTCCATGCCTTGGATCATGTCGAAGACATCCGGAAAATGATCTGCTCATTCTCTCAGTTCGCCAGAGGATGAGATCTGTGATCTGTTTCGCCTTGGATGGATCCATGCGGAAGTATTTGCAAACCTGTTCGACATTCTGGACGGTCTTCTCGAGATCAATGTTGCCGTTGTGGCATACCATCCGGATGATGTCGGTTCCGTAAACTTCGGATTGAGCATTGGTGTAGCAACAGATGCTCTAGACCTTCTTGATGAAGTCCATGTATTGCTTCTCCGTATGAGGTCCTTCACCTTGGAGTGTTGGCTGCCAGTAATCGTTGAATCTGGCCTTCAACCAGAATACCTTAACTCCATGTGGTCTCTCATGCTCAGGAACGAAGTGGAAATCCGGATTGACACCGAGGGTTGAGCATTCCCTGTAGTACTCGTACACAAAATTCAGGAATTTTGAGTTTCCGAAAGGTCCTGGGTGTACGGATTCCTTCTGGAGGCTGATGTTTGTTTCACAAACCACCGATCATTGGATGTGAGAACAGGCCGCATCACTGGTCGCCTTGGAAGTGCAGGTCGATCACCAGGATGATTGTTGGATTCCGTCTCTTCATCCAGGATGTTCTTTGGTGCTGGCTTGACCTTGGAGACAAGCCTCAATGCTGGTGGCGGTGACTTTGGAACAAGTTTCGGATGCGGCATCGCCTTTGACGTAGGCCTTCCTGCGGGAGGATGCCCTTCTTCATCTGAATCATCGTCGTCGGAATCTGGATCATAATCAACCTGCTCCATGTTGACATTCTCGGGTTGCTGAGAGGCGGATGGATTCTCATCGGCGACTTGCTCCATGGGGCAGTCTGATGTCTCATCTTCCTCATCACGAGCAGGGGATTCCTTCAACGGTGATGCCCGTCTCTTGATCATTGGCTTTGGCACAGGTGCCGCGGCGCTGGATCGTCCGAAGATCATATTGAGAATGGGCATGTCTTCGAAGTGATCGAGCATACAAGATTGCAAAGGTCGGATTGGTTGTAAACCGAAAGTGGCTGCGGATGCAGACACATATTTCCTGAGATTCAAAATGGGTCAAGTGCAAACACGCGCATCACGGATTTGAGGAATTGAAAATATGCAAAACGGGAAAACTCATGCATCAGAATTCGTGGACATGCGGATCATGCCCAGGTTCCCCAATAAGCAAACATGGATTCTGCTTTACCGACTCCTGCAAAAGCAATGATGTTGGGTCCGTGCTTCGTGTTGTGTGCTAGCCACTCAACCAAAAATGCCTTGTTCTGCAACATGGTACGGAAGGGTGGATGTGCATCTACATTCAAGAGATTGCCGGTGAGGACGGCCTTGATGAGCTCGTCTGCTTTAGCTGA